CTTTTAGCGCCGTTCTCAGAATTAGAGGCACACAATTTGGTTTTATTTTATGACGTAATAAGAGATTATATTCGAGCTTACGAGACAGAAAATTTTGAAGAATTTAGTGACACTATCACCCAAAAAATAAATGCTCTCAACGAAGAAAAAGCAAATTTGCAAAGATTATATCTAGAAAGAGGAATTTATAGAGATCAAACAAACGCAATCTAATGCTTTCAACTAGTGATGATTGAAGATCTAATTGGAATTTATTCGCGAAAGATTTTTAGCTGACAACACCGACGAAAGAACGAGAACAATTAGAAGCGCTCAAACCGAACCCAGAGACGCCCTCCTTGTTTTGGATTTTAATATACTGCGCGATCATGCGACGGTAGCAGAAGAGAGAAGGCGTCGGAAGATTTTTTTTGCAGGGTGGAGAACGCGGGAGTATAGTCATTCCCCCGGGGTTTTAATTTAAACGCCATTCCAGGTATGTTTTAAAGTTCACCGAGATTTCAATTTAGTTACAATTATGGTCACAGATTTAAATCTCAGATTGCGGTTGGGCAAAACAGTTGGTAAGTTACTGAATTTGCCAAAAGGTAGGCTCGTTCCAAACGTTGTTCGCAAATAATCCGCAACGTAATTCATCCCAAATTTTATCTATTTGGAATAACTGATGGGATATTTATCCTGGGAACAATATGACTTTGATCCCAATGATGAGATCGCAAAATAACGTCGTACATCGACTTGCCCCATTGTCTAATACAGAAGTCCAGCCATCAACTTGATGCTTCAAGTTCTGGGTGGTGGGACCGGTGGAGGATGTAGTCGAGCAACGATTTATGACCAAAACAAGATACTACTGTTACAGCGCCCTCCATTGACAAGGTTCGATTTACTTGGCTGCGGCTAGGGCTTGCCGTACAATCAACCGTCTTATTCCAAGCCACAGTCAGGTTATATGGACAATCTGCGATACCTGCGTGGCTAAAACGCTTGCTAGCTCGGCGCTCCTGATTCTGTCACTCAGTGTCAGTGAGTGTCAAAGTGTCAGTTAAACCATGGAGGTGTTCCTTCCTCCATGGTTAAACACAGCTTGAGTGTGGACTGACATGACTGATGCAGTCCAGCTCGTCTATTCCTTCCCCCATGGTGGCATGCATGATGATGGGAACAACAAATGTGCAAACTGCAAAACAGCTGTACAAGCACCTTTTAAGAGCTTGTCAAAAGCTGCCTACAGAGGCGCAGAGTCACTACAGACATCATGTCAGACAGGTACCAAAGCCCATGATAGGCCTAGCCTAGCCCAGATTGGACGATGTTTACATTGCATTGCGACTGAATCCAGGATATGAAAGTCCTCCTACTATGCGAAATTTTTTTTCAACAGTTTTTGCTCGCATTTTTACCTGATGAAGACAGCTCAAAATGTCGTTCACAAGTGCCTATACTATAGTATAGACCTAGTAGTGCTGTGGCACAATGAATGCGTGGCTTTATTGTTCTCTGTACGAGTAACAAGAGAAGGAACCTAGCCAGAAGTAGTAATCTGTAGCGCCAGGTCCTTCAGGCTCAGACTGTTACTTAGTATTTTGTTGTACTGTGAAGTGGTAGCCAAACAATATGCTTGGCGGTTAGGGTTAAATTGCAAGAACTGGGCTGATGCCAGTTTTTAAAGGGATTTTACATGTTTTTAATGTCATACATGTAATTGGGGGGACTTGCTGTATTGTGTGTATGTCCATCATCATCACATGCCACTGAGTTTCCTTTCACCCCTCCTCTCCTGTGCTACGTCGGCTGCAATCATGGTGTTCTTTTTCTCTCAATTTATTCTCGGCACAATTTCACGATACTTTTTGTTGCCCATGCCCTTTTTTCATAAAGTGCTTCTATCCAAGCAAAGTTTGGCATGTCCCAACTGTGTTGTCGAGTGTGGACACAGTTAGGGCATTGACACAGCTTGGGTGTAACAGTACTAAGTTGGGGTAGATCCACTGTCCACAGCTGAGGGTCATGCATTGCCCAGGCTGGACACACAGTATTCAATACATAATGTACATGAACATGTAATGCAGTGAGTGAATCCACCTGGGCTGAGTTAAGAGGACACCCCATTTATAGTTCGTTGTGTTGGTTGATGACCCAGGAGGTTGTGGTCAAGTGGACCCAGTTTTGGTCTGACCTAACTACATGTAGTAGGTTCATGGTTGGCTCTATGGCGTATTACAAGATAGGCAGATAACATCACTCCATTCCATCCATGAGGCCTAGAGCCAGACCCTGGAGCAGATTTGTCAATTCTCGTCCACCGAGGTGGTCATGTGCTGTCTTCTTCTTGTGGGCCTTTTTTTTGGCTAAACTCAATTCTTGATTTATTTTCACTTCTAGGGTTTCAATAGTCATGCTGATGAATCAGATCCCAATAGAATCCAACAGATTATCACCAGGGCTCTGCAGGATGCTGAATGGGTGTTGAATAAGGTAAAATTAAAGCAACTGCTCTTTGTAATGAAGCTCTGTCACTCCCCAGAAAGCCCTTTGTTTCCAAGCCCAGAAATTTAGCTTTACACAAAGCACGCAGAGAGGGGCTTCATAAATCACGGTGTCCGTTCCCATCTCTTAAATTGTTTAAATCACAAAGTGGTGAACTTTCAAAGCAGCAATTGTGGCTTGGATCAGACATACTTGTATTGGGAAAAGTGGGAAGGGATGACTGAGATGAGATGCATCGGTAATCAGAGGCTTTCTGGGCCGTATCACATTATCCTGACATTTCTTCAAATAGCATTTTCTCCTAGAGTCTTCCCTTTTCTCACGTATTTTCTGTCAGTCTTTTTTCATGTGTTCTTGTTCTCATCTCTTTCATTAACCTGTGAACCTACCAGTGTCCTCTCATCAAGCACATGAAGTGCCATCAAGTTCCAATATAAATGTTACACCCCAACTATTCGCTCTTTGCATGCTGCCCCCAAAGGCATGCAGAGCCTTGATCTGGCAGTTTGTACAATTGCGTCAGAATTGCGTCAACGCAGCTTTTTGAAATTGTCAAATCGCATGGTACCGGTATAAGAACGAACACAGTACGAATCACTGAACCAGCCATATTTAGTGTGTAAAGCTGCCAGATCAAGGCTCTGAATGTCTGTGGCGGCAGTCTGCAAAGAGCGAATAGCATCAGCCCCAACTCTAAGTTTTGTGGCTCACACCAAAACGAATTCATCAAACGTGACATTTCATCCATAACAAATAAAAAGTTGTTTCTGCAATCACAAGTTACCAACAGAAACAAAATGACGCTGGTACATGCATGCTACAGCACACACTGGCACTCTGTGCTGTAGTTGGCAGCAGTAGTCAGTAGGACTGATTTTTTTTCTCACATGAGAAGCTCTTATGTAAAAACAAATGAAATATTTTTCTTGTACAGTATGCAGATAAAAGCAGCAAGAGGTGACAAGATATATCTACTCACTGCGGTTGAACTGAGCATTGATGGCTTGCCATTTTCCCCCAAACTGTGGCCTTTGAGGAGGCAACTTGCAGATGCTGTCTCTGGCTTCAGTGGGTTTTGACGGCTTCACGTAGGGATGCTTGTGTTTGTTACATGTTTTGGAGACTGCCATGTTGGGAGTTTTCTTGGTTTCAATAACAGCATAATGTGTCGATGTCTGTGCTTACATTTGATGTATACAGAACAACTCCAACACCAACACAGATTCCTTACAATGGTTCAAAGACTGGCATTAAAGGATGCCTAAAACCATAGACAGATCTTTCAAAATGACCACCAGAATGTTAGGCCTACATGTACTTCATATTTCTTTTGAAAAAGAATGTTCTGGTTCATGTTCCTGACAGTTTCTTGCAGTTCTCACCACAAACCACTGTGCTAAGCATGAAACGGTTTTGGAACACTCAAAGGTAACAAATTTAACGTAGCTATTTGACTAAAGTATCTGGTTTTGACACCTTTTTTTCAGTGATCAACAACTTTTTGTGTTGAGCACTGCCAGGTAACTTGCCCTT